CCGAGAAGTGCACTCAGTGCTTGGTTTCCCGCGAAAAGCGCAACAACGCCGTCAACGATCTTCCCGATGACATGGAATGGTTGAAGGCCAAGGTCCGTGAACTTTCCGAGCACACTGGACTTCCCGTCGAGGCGGAGGGCACACCAGTCAAGGACGAGGGATCCAACACCAAGACCGACGAAGAAGCCTAAAGACAAGGCTCTTGTCACTCCTGCCCTTAGGATATAAGTATTTAGTCATGTAACCGTGGAAGTAATAGCGCAAACTACACATTGTGGTTTGCGTATAGTAATGCAACTTTCTTTAAAAATTTCATGCAGCATGCCCTTCGTATCAAGCAATGCATCGATTTTGTTTTTGTAGTGAATTTACTACTATCACTCAAGCTAAAAATAGTCTGTTCATATGGTTCATCATGGGTCTCCTTTTGCACTGGTACCGTACGCCGTACAGAGTACCATGTGAATTCCTCGAAAGAAGACTATTTGGCCCCCTTTCATGGGGTACCCCCCCTAATATCACCATGATATTGTAGGCTTTTATCTAACGGTATAAATTCGTCCTCTTTCGCCTTTGATGTTGGGCATGTGGATTTTTTGAATGCAGGACCGGAAGAAAGATTGGATGTTGATCGACTAGGAAAGACGGATGATACATAGTTGGTAGGTTTAGATTTCAAAAACCAGAAATTGGACCGGCAGTTGATCCTCCTGAGTCGGACGTGGGTCCGGTAGATCAAGCCATGGTAATCTAGAAGGATTTGAGGTTGGGCCACTGATAGTTTCATATTTAGTAAAAGACGTATGTTCGAGGCTGGTCGGCTAGTACAAAGTAAGGACCCAAAGCTACCTGGTAGTAGGCTACGATGGATGTAATGATGCCATGTGTTGGACCAGCAGTAGATCAGGAAGTAGGCCCAGATCATGGTAATCTAGTAGGATTAGATGTGCCACTGGTAGGTGCATAAATAGGACCGGAAGCATCATCAATGTTGGTTGGCATGTATGAACAGAGGACTTATCGCTAGTAGACTAAGACATGAGACGATGCGTTGGACCAAAAGTTGATCCGAAAGTAGGCCCCGTGTCAATCATGAGAATCAAGTTGGATTTGAGGTTGCGTCGCTGGTAGTTTTATATTTTTAATACCAGAAGCACGATTGATGTTGATCATTAGTGCACAATGATGTCAAAGCTAGTAGATTCATAAGCAAGAGCAGGGGCTGGAACAAAATTACTTCCAAAAGTGGCTCCGCCGATCATGGCTAGTTGGATTTGATGATCGGGCACTGGCAGTTTCGTACCTAGGGCTGGAAGGAAGATCGGTGTTGAACCACTAGTACGAAATGAAGATTCATGGCACTTCCAATGCGATTGATCTCACAAACAAAACTATGATTCTTATATTGGATAGGTAGCGGCGTGACAGCCAACATGGGCTCCTTATCCTTTCAAAATTTCACGAAGCCATGAAATAAATGATGTACCATACACTTCTACTCGGACCCTGGCCATTTCCTTTTGGACGGTATTTGCCGACGGTATTTGCCTACAAAAGGCCGACTGCTCCATTTGCGAAGTGCTCGCGTCGGATCCTCTACGATGCCGCGACGGATTGCTTTGTTGCATTCATCTGATTAAGGACAGAAAAATGAAAACCAGTCAGATCGAAAAACGGCGAAGTAGAGACAACATGGGCGACTCCCGTTTAAAAATTCCATCTCACGTATACAGATTAAATGGCGGACTTCACGAAACACACGGAAGATTCGAGAGATTCGACAGCACGAAGATCTGAAATTAATGGTAGCCATCTGTTCTCAGAATTGTCGTTTCCGCGGGAAAATGTACCGAATACCTGTACTCATCGTACAATCTCTACGTAAGGGTATTTCAAGGTTTTGCTCTCAAACCTCCCCTCATAATTTGGATTTTGCAATCTTTCATCGACCAAAAAATAATCATCATGGTAAGATCTTCCTTCTCCTTGCGTGTATCAACATTCACAAGTAACGAGTCATGCTTACACACCTCTGCACTCTCTATCGCTATTCCGTAGTCTGACGAAAAGCAAACCACTGATGCTCCTAGCCGCAAAGACCGCCCAACAGGTTCCATGCACGTTGGAGACGCTGATTTTGATGTCAACGATCCAGCCTACGAGATGGACGCCACTTGGGGAGAAGTCTGCACAGCTTGCTGCGTCAAGACCCCAGCCGAGTGGGGCATGGCCTTTATGGGACTCGTTGGAGTTCTTTTCTTCCTTTACTTCTTCCTTCTTGGATTGGACCTTCTTGGAAACGGTGCTAAGGTTATGGGAGGATGTGCCGCCGGTGCTCTTTTCGGTGATGACATGAACCCCATCGCCGGACTGATGGTTGGTATTGTTGCCACTGTCCTTCTTCAATCGTCTTCCACCACCACTTCCATTGTTGTTTCCCTTGTCGGAGCCGACGCCGTTACTGTCAAGCAAGGAATCTTTATGATTATGGGTGCCAACATTGGTACTTCTGTCACCAACACCATCGTCGCCATGGGACATTTGGGAGATGGAGACCAACTCGAACGTGCTTTCGCTGGAGCCACCGTCCACGATATGTTCAACTTCCTTTCTGTGGCTATCTTGCTTCCTGTTGAGGCAGCTACCGGATACCTCTTCCATCTCACCAAGGCCTGCGTCAAGAATTTCCAGGCCCAAGATGGAGAAAAGTGGGAGGGGCCAGTCAAGAAGCTTGTTTCTCCTCTTGCCAGTCGCATCATCATTGTCAACAAGAAGGTTGCCAGCCAAATCGCCGCTGGAGAGGCTACTTGCCGCACCTACTACCCCAACAACGGCACTCTAGCTTGCGACGACTACAATGATCCTCTTACTTGCAGTTCCGGACTTCTTTCCTGTGACAAGAAGGCCGACACTCCATTCTGTCCTGCTTTCTTCGACCCCGAAGCCACCGAAAACGTTGACCGTACCTCTGGAGTCTGCGCCTTCATCATTGGTTTGATCCTTCTTTTCATCTGCCTCTTTGCATTGGTCAAGATCTTGCAACGATTGATGATGGGGGCTTCTACCCGTGTTCTCTACAAGGCCACCAACATTAATGGATACCTCGCCATTCTCATTGGAGCCGGTATCACCATTTTGGTCCAATCTTCTTCCATTACCACTTCCGTCTTGACTCCCTTGGTCGGTGTCGGTGCCCTTCGTCTGGAACAGATGCTTCCTTTGACTCTCGGAGCCAACATTGGTACCACCGTCACTGGTCTTTTGGCTGCCCTTCTTGGCAACAAGAACGGTATGCAAGTCGCTCTTGCCCACTTGTTCTTCAACATTACCGGTATCGCCATCTGGTACCCAGTTCCATTCATGCGCAACATTCCATTGAACGCGGCCCGAGCTCTTGGACGCTCCACCCGTCTCTTCCGTGGATTCCCAATCATCTACATTGCTGTTGCATTCATTGCCATGCCTTTGATCTTTTTGGGTATCTCTTACCTCTTCTCTGACGGAAACTCTGGACTTACCGCTCTTGGTTCCATCATTGTTGTCGTCTTGGCCGTGGTCCTTATGTACACTGGATACTTTTGCAAGTACCAAGGTGGATCCGAGAAGTGCACTCAGTGCTTGGTTTCCCGCGAAAAGCGCAACAACGCCGTCAACGATCTTCCCGATGACATGGAATGGTTGAAGGCCAAGGTCCGTGAACTTTCCGAGCACACTGGACTTCCCGTCGAGGCGGAGGGCACACCAGCCAAGGACGAGGGATCCAACACCAAGACCGACGAAGAAGCCTAAAGACAAGGCTCTTTTCACTCCTGCCCTTGGGATATAAGTATTTAGTCATGTAACCGTGGAAGTAATAGCGCAAACTACACATTGTGGTTTGCGTATAGTAATGCAACTTCGCAAAAAATTGTATGAAGCATACCTTCTAGGAAATAGTACTGTGTAGCTTTTTTCTCATTGTAGTAGTTTGTTTTAGATATATTATCTATGAATAAAATTGGTGGTGGTTGGCACAATATAGACTCCAGTCCATCCGGTACTCGTTCAAGGGAAGCCTTTGCAAAAGTATTAGTCAACTACAGCAGTGAGATGGCTTTTTGTCTCAGTGGTGGTGACTACATAAAAAATTGTCTGCATTCCTTTGCTTTTATATTGAATGTAGTCTCGATCAAAATGGAGTATGCCTTTTTCGCAATCATCAGAGTGAGCCTTCTTCATCTAGCATTTCTCCGTCATCTTCTATTGAATCTTCTGCCGAAGACGTGTAGTCATTGTGATCTAGCCTTGCTTCATCATCTTCTGTGGAATCATCTGCCGAAGACGTATAATCATTGTCGCACAGTGTTGGTGGATCAATTGGAACTTCGTCACCATCATAATCATAATCATCAGTAGCACCATTCCTCTCTTCACTCTCTTGTTGTTGTTGTTCTTGTTGATTGTGTTCGTCCGTCAATTGAATATCCGATATCCTAGTTTGCAAATCTTGGGGTGTCATTTTGATCCTTCGACGTTTCACCGATTGTCGGACGGCCGATCGCCGATGGGTCAATTCAAAACTATTGGTGTGGGCGGGAGGTCGCCGTTGAAAGGATTCTGCCGTTCGTTCGGATCGGCCCGTGTCATTATTGTTGTTGTTGTTATTGTCACTGTGAGAGGAGCGATCATCTGGGTCGATGCACGATTTGAGCGATTGTTCCAAGGGCAGTTCGTATTCTTCCCATTCCATACTTTCTTCTTCCGAGGCGACCGTGCCAAAGCCGCCGCCATCCAAGGATGCCACACTTCGTCCAACATCAATATTTTTGAATTCCGGATCGCTATCGTCCATGAGATTGATTGGTTTGGGAATGGCACTGGTACTATATCTCGACCGAGTAGTAGTGGTAGTAGTAGTAGTAGTGGGCGTGGCAGAAGGAGATGTCGCTTGATCAGTCTCTACTATCATGTCATTCATGTCATCGATATAGATATCATCATCGTCATCGTCATCGTCATCGTCATTATCATGTCGTTCACTGTCATCGATAAAGTCACTCATGTCCAAAGCTACCTTGGCCGTCCACGGAGGTGAAAAGGTCCTTGAGGGTGGCACCAAGGTGGTCGACTTGCACATTGGTGAAAATACCGAGGAGGGTTTCTTTGATTCTTTGCGTGGTTGTTGTTGTTGTTGTTTTTGTTGTTTTCCCAT